CTGTTACGCCGGAGTGGGCCTCGGATGAAGCGGGATTTAGCCGGATTAAGCGGTATTGAGCAGGATTAAACAGGATTTCGGACCAGGGCCAAATCAGAATTTGACCTCCCAGGAGTTGCATCCGAACCATTGGGTATAGTGAGCGTTTTTTATTCGGCGTTTCGACATTGGGCGGAAGGGGGGGAGGGGGGGGTCTGGCTCTGGACCTCTGCCTAGTGCGACTGATTGTACGAGTGTTGCCTCTGGAACTCCACCCGCTCGAAACAGGCGCCCAAAAACAGCCAAGATCTACTCCATGGGGGGTGGGGAGGGGGCGTTTGGGGGGCCCGCGCCGATTAGCAAAACAATGAATAAAAAACGATCACATAAGCTTTCCAACCGCCCTGGGACATACTTCCCCGATTCCGGGATAACTTGTGCTATGCAAGTATTCCGCTAGGGCCTCCCCCTCCCCCTCCCAAGTTTCGCTCGCGCTGCTTTATCTTGAACCAGGGTAGCAGATCACGTTGGAAGCTCGCGTGGATGTTTTGGATCTGCGCTGAAAACCCAACCTCTCTGCTGCGCGGCGCGCGCCAGGGGCGGCGCCAGAGGCGCCGCCATAGGGTTCCAGCGCAGATCCAAGAAATCCGCGCGGAGCTCCGTTACGCTTCAGTGGGTCCTTCTTCTAGTCAAACGTACATCTTTCACAGCAATCCGCAACAGATCAGGCTTGGGCATCCCGAGTAGGTGGCGACATCCGAACCCTACCCCTACCAACCATCAATCCCACCAGCCCTCTGGGAGCAGGTGGTCTAGGGCGGTTCCTCTTCCAACCCCCTTCTTCCCCTTCGGGACCGGTCCCCTACCTGGCCCGCGGCCAACCATGAACAATACAAACCGCAATCTGCCTCCACATTTGGAGCATGCGCGGCCAACCCGATGCGCCCCCCCACCATCCCTGTCAAAAAATATGCAAAGTAAACTTTGGGCAAAAGTCTTGAGTCATGTTCGTGAGGCCCGCGAACGCGTAGTATTGTTTTTGACAGAGACGGCGGGAGTGCCAACATATTCCCTGCTGTGCGCAAGGCTACCATCCCTGACACAAGAACAAAACAACATGCACCTCGCGGCTAAATCTGGATCATGCGCGGCCATCCCGCTATCACTGCCAAACCGTTTTTGACAGGGACGGCGGGGGTGTTGGCGCGTGGCCTGCTGTGCGCAGGCCCACCAGACACAATGATGGGCATTGGTTTTCGACAGGGATGACGTGAGCCGACATGTTTCCCGATGCGTGCTGTCACTTGCGCAGGCGCACCTGGCGTACTCCGCACGTGCCCCGTCTGCACCTGGCGTGGCTGGAGTGTGCGGCACACCTGGAGCACTCGGAGCAGGTGGCGCATCTGGCGCACCAGGCGTGCCTGGCACGCTCGGGCCCCAGGGGTGCCTGGCGCGCGTGGCGCCCCTGGAACGCGTGGCGCGCCTCGCCCAACTGTCGCGCACCTGGGGTCGGCCTTGGTTCCCTGTAGCTGTCCATCCAAAGACGACCGCTGAGCATGCTCAAGCTCGGGTGTTACTTGTGTTTGGAGGGCGGGTGGGAGTTAGCTAGACGGCTTGCGGGCGGGTGGGTAGCTTGACCCCTCCCCCTTACCCCCTCCTGGACCTGGACGGGAGGTGCCGCGAGGCGGTGAAGCGTCCAAGATGGCCCAAGTCGGCTCCAAGAGGGCCCCTAGGCCCCAAGAACGAACATTCACAGACAGCTCCAAAAGGCGTCCAAGACCTCCAATGAGGCCTTCAGGAAGCCAACATCGGTCAGAAACCTAAGGACAATCAATGATTTTTGCTTTCTCGCCGTTTCGCTTCCGATGGCCATCCGAGGCCTCGAGATGGCTTCAAGATGGCCCAAGGGAATTCCAAGAGAGGCCCAAGACGGCCCCCAGAGCTCCCCACAGCACCCCGAGAGCGCTCCAAGAGGGGTCCAGGAGCCGATTTTCGGTGCTCCCGAGGCAGGAGGCTAATTGACGCTTCCCTCTTGTTTGATCGATGCCCTCCAATATAGCCCCAAGAGCGTCCCTGAAGCTCCCAAGAGCGGCCCAGGAGGGCCCCAAGAGGCGCCCAGACAGCCCTAACAGGCGCCCAAGAGGCCTCCAATAGACCCCATACGAGGCCTCAAGAGGATCCCCGAGGTACCCAACTCTCCCTCCTTCTCTTTCTTCTCCTCCGTCTCGTCCTCATCGTCCTCGCCCTACTTCACCTCCTCCTCCTCCTCCTCCTCCTCCTCCTCGTCTTCCTCCTCCTCGTCCTCCTCCTCATCCGACGACGACAATTATCCATCCTCCTCCTCTTGGGGTATAGGACGGCTTCCCCCGCCCTGTGTTCTTCTGCATGCTCCCCCACTTCCCTGATCACCTCAACTCCACTGGGCATTGTTTCTGGGTGAGCTGGTGGGGACACGCGAAGCGTCAGCAATTCTCCTGAATCGATGGGAGGCGGGGATCGGGTTCGGACTTCGCCACGTGTTCGACGAACTCCGAACCCTGCCCCCGCCACCCATCGGGTTGCCCGAATCGTTGATCGGCGACGGCATGGCTCGGGTTTCGCCGGCGAACCGACTGTACTGCGCGCGCGCCGCTCGCCGAGCCGCAGCGAGCTCGCAGTCGTGCATCATGCAAGAGCTGCCGTGGCAGCGCGCTGGGCAGGGCAGGCGCAGGTGGGGGCTCGCGGCCTACGGCTGGAGCCCACGCCATCCTGTCTTTCAGCTCCCCCCTCCTTCCCTCCCTGTCCCTCCCTTCCCCTCCATCCTCATGCGTCTCTCCCTTCTCCCTCCCTCCCTCCCTCTCTCCCTCCACTCTCCACTCTCCGCCCTCGTCCCTCCCTCCTTCCCCCTCCTCAGGGATCTTCTGACCCGGGTCCGTGCAGACCCGGGTCGGTCAGGCCTTGCAGCATCCTGCAAGATCCTGCAGGGTCCTGCACGATCCTGCACCCAAGCCCGGGTCAGTGCGCCCCTGTCCCTGCAGGATCCTGCGAGACCTGGCGATCCGACGGACCCCGGCTTGCACTGACCCCCCGGCCCTCGAGCCCCGACCTCCCCTCCGTCCGCGCGGGCCTGGCCTGTGGCTGTCCTGCCTGCCCCACCCGACCCCCGCAGCGGCCAAACGGCCTGACGCCATCGGGGCACGAACGGCCCGCTGCGGGTGCCCTCCCTCCCTGTCGCCGGGGCCCAGGGAAGGGGCCATCGTGCGCCCGTTGCCCGGCACAGTGGTCCGTACACCGTGGCTCCCGCTGCCCTCTGAGAGCAGTGGCGCTCTCGACTCCTGGAGCATGGGGGGGGGGAGTGGCGAGAAAGGTTGTTCACACTGTGGTGAGACTGGCTTGGGAAGGCGCAGGGAGGATCATTTTTTGGGGACAGCATTCACACACTCGCAGCGTCGACCATACTGGACATACGCAGCGTGTGTGCGTGCGTGCGCACGCCTGACGGCCCCCTGAAGAGGAGGAGGCCTGCCGCACACAGCGAAATCGCGCCAGAGGCCGAAACAATGAACCTTGGAAAATGGAGGCTGTTCGCATCTCCATCCAACTCTGAAAAAAGCATCGGGCTCAAAGTCAAAGCGCAGAGAAAAGAATGCCACCAGAAGTGGAAAACAGAATTGCAGAGGGGGTCACGAGGCTTGGGGCCGTGAGCTGGAGTCAGGGAAAAAGTAAGTGTTCCGCATTCAAGCCGCTCACTGTATGCAGAGAGACTGGATGGAGGGATAGGCCGAGAGATGAGAGGCAGGGGAGGGCGGCTGGAGGGAGCAGAGGGCGAGAGAGGGAGACTGGAGAGGAAGGGTGCAGGAGGGCAGACAGAAGTTTGGATGACCAAGAATGGGGTCCAGCTAGAAGGGGGGTGGTGCAATAGATTTGGGGCAATTGTATTGCGAATGCACTGCGCCGGAGAATTGTATTGCATTGTATTGCAAGTGATGTATTGCTCGCGAAAATCCAATAATACATTTGCGCCCCAGAATGTACTACACGCACAAAATGTATTGCAACTTCACACATCTATTGCACCAAATATATTGCGCCACCCCCTTGTCGCTGGACCCCCTTTTGGGTCAACCCGAAGAAGTCTTGAGAGCATCTCGTCGTCGTTGACGGTCCATCTCGGTCACTCGCTCCGCATTCAAAGCCCGTGAGTTCGCCCAGCGTGCTCCACCTGTGCACTTTCCAAACGTCTCCCTCGTGTGCTGCCAACGTCTTTAGAAGAACAAAGAACGACGATGCCAATTCCTTCGATCCTCGACGATCGAAGGCAAGGCCCTTTCTGGAACGCCCCAACGCCCCACATCTGCTCTCTTATCTGGCCCCAACTCCTCCATCTCTCCTCGAATCATCCACTCTACTAACAGTCGTCGACGACGAAAACGACGAGGGACGACGACGACTAGCGACGACGACTAGCGACGACGACGACGACGACGACGACGACGACTAGCGACGACGACGACGACGACGACGAGGGACGACGAGGGACGACGAGGAACGACGACGACAACGACGACGACGACGACGAGGGACGACGAGGAACGACGACGACGACGACGTAACAACCCGCGCTGCGCCACGCCCCTGAATTTCCAAGGTGCGCAGAAAGTACCGGAAACACAACAGCCATAACCACCACCCCTCCTCCCTCCTCCCACCTCCTCCTTCCTCCCTCCTGCTACCTCCTCGTCCTCCTCCTTCCTCCTCCTTCTCCTCCTCCCTCCTCCTCCTCCTCCCTCCTCCTCCTCCTCCCTCCTCCTCTTCCTGCTCCTCCTCCTCCTCCTCCTCCTTCTCCTCCTCCTCCTCTCACTCCCTGCTTCGTCCCCTCAGTCACAGACTACATCCGGCGGCACTCCCAACAGGTGGCGCAGGCGCTCGTCCAGCCCAGCGCCGAAGAGCCACCAAAAAGGAGCTGCAGTTGTACGTGAACCCGATGAGCCAGATCGTGATCCAGTTGCTGTGTGCGCGGCAGCTGTTCAGTTGTGGAAAAAATGGAGGGCATCAAAGGGAGTCACTACCTGCATGCCGTGGAGGAGTTAAAAGCAGCGAAAGCATCGACACTAGCAGCAAAACCATGGGACCAGCAGCGAAAGTCGCTGCACGACCAGCTCGAAGTCGCAAAGAAGAAGCTGCTCAGTGCCCAACAGAATTGTGACAAAACGTGTGAGGCCGTGGTCACCTTGGCTAATGACTACACCAACCAGTGCAAGCTCGTCGCCGACCTGTCAGCGGAGACGCAGCAGTTAGAGACCCAGCACAAGATGGCAGTGGAGCAGGCGTTGAAGGAGCACGTCAGCACCTCGGCCCCCCTCGCTGGAAACGTACATCATCAGCCTGTTCCCGCCTGGGTTCGAGCCGTCCGCTGAGGCGAAGCAGGCCGTCATTCAGTTGTCGGCGAAGCTACGCGACGAGTGGCAGGCAGCCCAGGCAACCCAGGCCAGCTCCCAGCAGGCCCAGACGGCGTCCCAGGTGGCGGCGGAGTCCCAGACGGGCGCCGAGGTGGGGGCCGCAGTCCCAATCGCAGCCGATGCCGACCCGAGGGCGCCGTCGTTGGCCACCGCCACCCCATCGGGAGACGTCAGCCCTGAGCTGGCTGCCAGCCTGGACGTCGAGGCCGAGGCCATGCAGCTGGACCATGACGAGGCAGACAAGCGGAGCCAGGGCATGAAGCGCGTAGGCGAGGCGATCGACCAGGTTCTGAACATCAACGGCCAGAACTCGGCGCTCACGCCCCAGCAGCAGATGGCCAACGCGGCGCTCAAGTCCAGCGCGAAGGCGCTCTGCCTGGCCAACAAGGGCAAGGGCGGAAAGGGGGCGAACGGGGCGCCGTGTGGGTAACGCGGTCAGGTTCGCCACTATCAATGGAAGCTGCTGGAGATCTATTCGGAAGTTTCTGAAGTCAAAAGCAGCCGAGACGGTGGACATCATCTGCTGTCAAGAGCTTCGGGTATTGAAGGATGCGCTCCCTTTCATCGTACAATGGTGTGAGCGAGAGGGGTGGAACGCGATACTCTCTCCAGCCGTGCTCAGTGAGAAAGGGTACCCTGTCCAAGGGACAGGGATTTTGATTCGTGATGGGCATGACTATGGAGTATCACGTGCGCCAGTGCCTGCAGGGGTAGTAGAGTCACGGTGCACAGCAGTTTCACTTGAGCTTCCTGGACATCGTCCATTCGCATTAGTTTCACTCTACTTGGCCGACGGGGTGGGCCGCAACCAGTATAACTTAGAGCTCTTAGCTGGGGTTACAATGATTCAGGGCGCTGTGCGACAGCCACTCATCATTGCTGGGGATTTCAATGTTCCGACGAGTAAGCTAATCGAGTCGAACTACCCGCTGAGAGCAGGCCTTAAGATCTTGGCCCCGACAAAACCAACATGTAAGATGAAGAAGTCTGAGTCCATCATCGACTTCGTTCTCGCCTCGTCGTGTTTCGACCAGGACCTCTCGGGGGCCACGGTTCTAGACGAGTACCCCATGAGCCCGCATAGGCCCGTGCTGTTCCAGCTGCGCTGCGGGAAGCCCTTTATGGTGCCAGTCTTGGAGAAGCCCCAACCATTCGCTACTTCCAGGCCTTATGGGCCTACAAACCATGCGCCGTCCTGGGACCGTGCGGAGGCTGCCTTGGGATTCCTGGGCCAGGTTATTGATCGAGAGTCTGGGATTGAGGCCCGCTTGCTGACCTAGATTCGGCATGCCAGTACTTCGCCTCGGACATGGCGAAGACGATCAGTATTCGCACGGGCACTCCGATCAAGTCGCCCACTGCCCTGCGGGTGGGCCTCCCGAAGATCCGCTGGGTACCAGGAGCCGCCCGAGAGGTGAACCCAGTGCCGGTTGGAGGAGTCTATCAATTCCGATTCGGTGGTTGAAAAACAAGGTTATGGATGTCATCCGTCGGGTTTATTCCAAGGAGGAGTTTTACCTCTCGGAGATTTTGACCAGCATCCAGTCGCCGCCCCCAGAGCTCGAAGGTACTGAGGAGTTTGCCCGTTTGCTCGCCAGTGTTAGGACTGCTCTAGGCGCTGCTGCCCAGGACCAGGACAGTGGCGAGATGGATCCCAAGCTCGTGTTGGAGGTATTTGAAGAGCTCGATGACGCAGTTGATCACGCGCTCCAAGCTGAGGAGGCCAAGGACCGACAAAATGAAACAACGTCTTGGAACAACTGGGTCCAGGAGGCCATGTCTCGGAGAGTTGGTTGGGCCCATCGCTGGACCTCTAAGCTCACTTCCTGGCAACCTCAGAAAGTTTGGCGCCCCGAGCTGCAAACATTTTCAGGCCGGCCTTCAGAGTTGCTCCAGTTCGAGGCAACCCGCCTCGCAGGATTGTGGCAGGCCACGCCGCAGGGGCAGGGCTTTAACTTGCCGTCGGCCGAGCGTGACCGCTTGGGGCCCATCACGCCTGGCCAGATCAGATCAGCTGCCAAAAGATTCCCAAAATCTACCAGCCAGACTTGGGATGGGTTTCACCCTCGTCACTTTGCTTATCTCAGCAATGTGGAACTGGAGCATGTGTGTGAGCTTTTGGCAGCGATCGAAGAGATTGGAGTATTTCCGACAGCCATCCGTGGCGTCATTATCACGCTGATTGAGAAGCACAAGCCCGACCAGTCTGAGGGCCCCTCGTACCGAGGTATCGGTTTGCCCCCTGCCCTCTGGAGGGCGCGGTCCAAAATTCGCCGGGAGGAAGCTCGTCGGTGGGAAAGGGCCAACAAGAGGCCTTATCTTGCTCATCAGTCAGGTCGAGGTGTGCTTGAAACTGTTTATGCTCAGGCCTTGGAGGCTGAACTTGCTGGCTATCAAGCGATCCACGCTGGTGGGTTTTATGGGATTTATCTGACTATTATGAGAATGTCAATCGGGAGAAATGGAAATCTCGGGCGATCTCGTCTGGATTTTCGGAGACGCTCACGTGTATTATGATGAACCAGTATGGGGGTCCCAGGGTTGTCGCAACCAGAACATTGGCTACCTACGCGGGGTGTGCTACCAAAGGCTTCCCTGCTGGCTGCTCGCTTGCGACCTACAACGTCCAAATGTATACGGTTCCCCGCATGGGCCCCTGGGTTCCGAAGTTCCCCACCGTGGACCCCTCAATCTTCATTGACGATTTCATGTTGACAAGCAACAACACAAGCGTTCGCCCGTTGGTGTCGGACCTGGCGCAGGCCGCCGACAGCATGCTAGATTTAATCGAGGAGGACCTCGACTGCTCGGTCGCCTTGCACAAGGCTGCGGTGCTGGGCTCGTCCACTGCAGCACACCATCGCCTGGCCAAAGCTCTAGGTAAGTACAGTGGACCAGAGGGAGTCAACCAAGCACAGTCTGCGCCAAACCTCGGAGTCGATTTCACCATGGGCAATAGGGTCTCGAAGAAGGCCCGGGAAGCTCTGGCGAAGCGAACCTCCAAGATGAAATGTCGACTCCACCGCGTGGCCCAGATTAGGCGAGCAGGTGCGAATATGCGGAATATTTATCAGACAAGCTTGAAAGCAGCCGCCTACCATGGCGCCGAGGTCGTCGGCCTCGCCAACCCTGAGCTGTATGAAGCCCAGTCCCTCTACCTCAAGATTGTAGGGCCCCGCTGTGCTACAAGATCCAGGTCCCTGGCATTATCGATATCGGGGGACCCGACGTGGAGTGCTGCCCTGGGGCCGGCAAGTTATTGGGCCAACCTGATCTGGAGAGTTGCTCATTATCCTGGTGCGATCGGCTTTTCTCTGGTGGGACTCCGTGAACAAGCCCTCCAGGTCCTCCACGAGCCCCCTGCGAAGTGGTACCAGATCCGAGGGCCCATAGGGGCCACGCTGCTCAGCCTGAGCCGTCTGGGGTGGCCCATGCCCGACCCGCTCGTCTTTCGAGACTCGCAAGGCCAGGACTGCCCACTCATCACCACCTCCCCTGCCCTCATCAAGAAGCTGTTTCAATCCCAGTGGCAGTTGCAGTTGGACGCGAAGGCGGGGCAGAAGCTCGGTTTCGACGAGCCCCTCGACCCGTCGGTCATGCAGCGCGCGATGCAGGATGGTACAGTGCTGGCCTACAAAAGGAAAACGCTGCTTTCATATGGCTGTCAGTGCATTTGGACCAAAGAAAAGATGGCCGAGGCAGGCTATCATAATGAAGTCGAATGCGAGCTGTGTAAGGGCTCCGTGGACTCCGCCCCCCACAGGCTCCTCGAGTGCCCGCAGACCCGCAACCTGAGAGAGGAAATGTTAAGCGAAGCAGATATCGAGGAGTTCAAGGAAGGACCCGAGGAGAGGATTTCCATATGTGTTAGGATTTCAACTTCGACCTGAACCCATAGCTCTGAGGCCCCCTGGTTTAGGACTAGATCAGGCTGTATATTGGCCTCGAGATGGGCTGCCCAAGGAGGTGGCCATGCAAGGAGAAGTTTTCCATGATGGCAGTGCTTTGAAATCTGGGCCCGCGGTGTACGATGCCCCCGCCTGGTCCGCGGTCAAAATCGACGTGGACGGCGACCTGGTTGCCAATCTCTCAGGCCCTGTGGGGGCCAGCCTCCCCCCCACGTCGCCCGCTGCCGAAAACCTGGGGTTTCTAGTTGCTACGTCCTGCCCCAGAGTCACCAAAGCGTGGGCGGACTTCAAGGGTATCCTCTCGGTGCACCAGAGCGCCGAAGTCTCACGTAAGGAAATGTACTCAGGAGTTTCAGTTTTGGCCAGGTCCCAGAGCTGGTTGCGTCCCTCGAGATCGGGAAAGTAAAGGCCCACCAGGATCTGTCGTCCCTGGTGGTCGGCTCGAGGGGCTGGTTTGTTGCCAAAGGAAATGAATGACTGGGCGGACAAGGTGGCCAAACAAGCGGCCGCCAGAATCCCCGCCCCGTCCCCGAGAGAAATCGAGCATTATAAAGAATGCCGTAGCCGAGTTCAGAGGCTTGTGAAGTATGCTGCTGAGGCGCTTTCCTTGTGGGCACCACTCGCTCCGAAGTCGGGCAAGAAGGCCTACGAGAAGCCCGCCCAGAGTCTCAACCCCCCAGTTGGGGCAGCGGGGGCAGTCAGCCAGTGGACTGCACCACCCCCGCCCCCTGGGGGTCGTCCTCGGCGTGCTCGTGCGTGCCGTAACCCCCAGGGCGTGGCCAGACATCAGTGGGCATGGCTTAATAGTCATTGGCTGTGCCTAGCGTGTCATACCCGCGCCCGCACGGACAGCACCTCGACAGGCCCGCATGTGTGAAGCATGCCCAGGTAATTCAGTCATGTTGTCAAAGTTAATTCGGGACCCCCAGAAGCACACTTTAATGATATGTGATTACCTTGATGTCGAGTCCTTCCTAGTCGTTTGTAAGAAGTGCGGCCGCTACAGCGAAAGCAACCTCAAAGGACTCAAAGGTGAATGCAAGGAGCGCTTCCAAAGCAAGTTCTCCCAAGGTGCGTGGTCCCTCCTGGCAAGCAGCGGCCGTCATCCCAAGAGTAGTATGAAGGCCCGCCCCCGACTTTCCCTGCCCATCCCTGCGGCCCAGCTCCTCAAGGAAGGAGGGGCGACACAGGGACGAACGCGAGCGTAAAGGGAGAGCGGATGTAACCCTCAGGTTTCGGTTAGGGTCGGGTCGGCCTAACCCTAGCCTTCCTCATTAGCATGCGATGGTCCTCCTCCTCCTCCTCCTCACACACACTTCCCCAACCTCCCTCCCTCCCCTTCTCTCTCTGGGCGACACCAACAAACATACCGACACCGCCACTCCACGGATATCTCCCTTGGGGTGCGCTCTAAGCAGCAATCCGAAGGACGCGGATCCAGCTGCAACGATGAGGGTGGGGCGGCGATATCGGCACCTCCTCCTCCTCCTCCTCCTCCTCCTCCTTCTCTTCCTCCCTCCGC